TTCCCAACCTTTTTAAAAAAAAACTTTCCACAAATCGGGACATACAATGCAACCTCGGTGATGTTAACTGGCCTGACGTTGTGATTTGAGGCCAAAAGGCCATTCTTTGTTTAAATGTGAGAAACGCTGTGTGGGGAGCGGTGTCAGACCCCTCACTGGGGTGCATCTCTGCAGGTTACATACCTGCTCTTAAGGCCACTCAGAGCACATGGATTGACACACATTGTATTTTTGGGGGATGCCCATACCGATATCCAACCTGCATGCGACAGTGCCTGTGCAAAGGAGCTGGGCCCCACGCTCGGCCCAGTGCCTATGCGCACTCCAGCCCAGGGTGCGCTCAGGCCTAGGTTTTCTCCTCTGGGAATTTGTCCTGTACTTGAGGCAGGCAGATGCAGTACCCCTCCCTGTCCTGTTCATATAGCGACATCCAGGCATGCCATGGCACCTGCCTACAGTGTACTCGGCTATACAGAAAACACCATAAAGAGGGATAAAAGCCCCGCGTTGGCCTAAAGCATTCCAAAATCCAAACTGAAATCACAGTTATACTGATCCTCTGATCAGAATGAAGTTGCCCTTTGGGGAAAATTGGCTTTTTTATAAGAGGTGTCTACTAGAGCAAAGCTGTCTGGAGCTTTACTATTATAAATGGTTTATAGCCCCACTTGAAGTAGATGAGGGTCAAACAAATTCCATAGGCTCCGTGTATGACTACTGAGATGACAAATGGCAACACAGCTTGCAGTGGGAAATAAACTTCAAAAGATAGCCCCTATTAACAACCATCATATTCATAGCAGAATTAAATGATAAAGTATCAGATACTGGTACCTTCAGACTTAAAACAATGCCTTAAGACATATTTATGCCATTAGTACAGCTGTATACTACCTAGACAGAGGTCTTATAATGTCATATCACATCATTTAAACATACAAAGGATAATTTTATAATAAACATTTTCTTATCATTCCCTATTAATGTTCATTAGGTATACTTATTTAGAATTGTATTAAGCTTCATCTTGTGTTTTAAAGAAAGAACAGACTATGTTTAAAATTTGATATGAAATTTGATATGTTGCAATAGCAAGATACAGCTTTACTCATTCAGATCGCTAATTTCCATACTACATTATTTCCAGTTTTACATAAAAATGACCAAAGGGGGGAAAAAAACTTCCTCATTCTGCTGCAATGAAGTTTGGAAACTCAATACAGATAAATGCATGTCTGTGTGTGTGTGTGTGCACACATTATACATATATGTATATGCACATGTGTCTATGCCTATACATATGCATGTGTGTTTCTATATATACATATATGTGCATACATATTTGTGAATACATAAATATAAATAAATGAGGACTTCTCTTTTTCACTAGTTTTTAAAATGGGAGTCAAAATACCTGTGTTATTAGCTTGTGGTTCTGAGACGGGAATGTAAACTTGTCTGGTGTTCCAGGTACATAAGTAGAGCTAAAAATCTTGAATTCTGTTCCCAGCTCTTCCCCTGTTATCTTGGACAAGTCAACTCACTGCTCTGTGCATGGCATTAGAAAGCTTAATTAATTAATGCTTATAAAGCACTTAGATCCTCAGAAGAAAGATGCCATAAAAATGCAAGCTATTATTATATACTTTGTGTGTGTACCTAGTAGCTATGGAGTCTGTAATAACGTAATACCTAACTTTGGCTGTACTATGCTTAACCTGCTGGCACAAGTTGTTAATGAGATATTAACAGATATGACATTAAAACAACATTATGTTTTGGAACATAAAAACTTTTTTTTAATTGCTCACCTATATGAAAGTTGAAATGTCTTGCAATCTGTATTTGTCATCATTAAAATGTCCAAGGCATGTTTTAACAGAAACAGAAAAGCTCCGTTTTCCTGATTTCTTCTAACAAGTGCTTTTAACCTACTTAAATTCTGGAATCAGACATTTAAGGGCATTTTGAATCTTCTCCATCATAATCAAGACAGAAGAGCTGTAAAAGCAGTAATAGAATCAAGTGTGCTGATTTTCTTTTCAAATGAGAGCAACTGACATACAATATTACATAATACCAATAATAACCAATACTTCCTGATATCTAGCTAATTTATAGTTCATCATCATTGGACACTTGGAGGACAAAAACTTCCTTTTTGTTAGATGGGTGTACGTCTGGATTAATGCCAGAAAACTTAACCTCCTTATTCCACGGCATTACTCAATATTTATACCAGCAAAACATAGGCCAAAATTTGGC